GCAGATAACGGGATTGCTTGGCGGATTCGTTATATTCGCTCTTGTTAGCCTCTGGACTTAATATGCTCCTGTACTCTCCATAAAGGCACGAAGCGAATCGTGACGGGGGAATAGAATGTGCTGGCCGTAGGGTTGGGTCCGCCGTTCTGGAGCCTGGCCGACGCGGGTGTGGACACGCAGTGGTGCATAGATTGTATGCCAGATTCCTTCATTGAACACGGAACCGCTGTGACCGCGTCACCGTTTGCAGCTTGAACGCGAGGCATTGCACATCAATTCTGCAGGCCTTCTTTCTCAGAAGGGTTGTGCCCGTACCGGTTGGCGATAGGAGGCCTGGAGAAATAGCATGTTTTTGTTGCCCTTGCAGTGGTAGCGACGGGATCCTTCAACAATTGTTGGTATGGTCCGTTTGGACGCAGAAATATAAGATAGGCTTTCTAACCATCCCTACGGTCTTGATTATTAGGAGCTTTGCCCAAATGAAAAATTAACTGCGTAATTTAAAACGGCAAGACGGGCCATGGCCACATCGTATACATTCGAATCAGATGACTTTCTAATCCGTTCTTTACCGAGATAACGGAGGTGCGATTCAGGTCAACAACGCGGCCACTTGTCTGACTGGAACGTCGAGTCGCGCCGAAATTACATTATCACCCTGTTTTGAGAAGGTTGAAATGGCCTGGGTGTGGCTCCCTGCAAATTCGGCGTCCCGGATCAGTTGTGCTGGTTATAGACTTGACCGGACAGGTAACACATACCCCTTGACCAGTGATGTGCCGAGGGTTAATTTTGTGAGTGCAATGTCAACAGACTCCGGGCATACTGATTTTTCAGTCCCCATTCATCCTATCTAGTACAATAACGGCGTAAGGATTTTCTACGCGTTAAGGTATCAAACGGCCCTCGAGTAGAACCACAGCGAGGGTCCGCATTGCTTATGCTTCCACGGATTTATTGCGACTCCGAAGACTGGACCGCACGTTTTGTTGACCAATTGGCCGAGGTCGCTCGTCGACTTATCCTGGGTTTTGACGAGAGAGAGCCCATGGCCGTTACGATTAAGCCACATGGTGTTTCGGAATATAGAATTTTGTTTGTTTGGTTGGTCTCACCTTGTGGATTGTTCTGGTTACCCTGAAAGAATCTAAGTACTTATGGCTATTCCATTTGGCGCCTGGGTTCGGCTTTGGTATGGACGCTTTTTCTCCCGGGTTTCCTGCGTGTTCCCCTCTTATTGGAGGAATGACATTCCTACGTACGTCGATCCTGACCTACGCTTAACTAGGGAATGACCGTTTTTACGAAGACCAGAGACGTCTAGCCGGAGGTCACCACGCCGACCTGATCCCCCCATTCGCCCAAGTAATAGCGCAGTTTAACGAAACCGACATCGTGGGGGCCCTTAAATCTCACTTAGTGCCGGTGCCCCGCCATTCCGGCCTCAGCAGGGTTTGAGGAAGAGATTTTGATTCCCTACATTCCGTGCTCATTATAATTGCGGGCGAGAAGAATCCTGCGTATAACTTCTTGAAACTTTTAAATTTTTTGGTTCTAACTTCTTGATTTTGAGCTATTTTTTTTGTTTTTTTCTTTATATCTTTGTTTCTGATTTATTATCTTTTCGATCTCTCTCTTCCTTCTTTTACTTACTCTCTTAGTCACTTTCATAGTTGCTCTCTTGTTCCTAATTTCATCTATGCTTATTGTTTTATCTATTTCTCTATTTCTACTTAAGAAAATTGTTTCATCTCTATTCGACGGTTGTTCTGTTTTCTCTTTTTGTCTAAGACTTCTTATTTTACTTACATCCTTTGAGTACTTGATTCACCTGTAAGGTAGAGTTTATAAAGGTTCAGATCCTCGTCGTTGGTCATGTTTCATATCTGTCCGCTTTGTCATTTTGTTTTATCCTGGTAAATCATCGATGCCTGGTGTAGCATTTGCTCGTAGAGTGCGTATTGTCGGTGTACATACCTGGCCTTTGTGGCGTCTTGATTTCTACGTCCTGCTTCTGCTGGCTTAGGTGGGCTTGTTTTTCGGTTCAGTATCGTTGTTTTTGGCTTCTACCTCTTCTTTTATCCTAGGGTGTCTTGTGTTTGGGTTGGTGTTCGTGTTCTGTCTTGTTGGGAACGGCGTTTCAGCGTTTTTCTCATTTCATGTGTTTGGTTTGCAGTGTCTTTCTGGATTTCACGATTTATTGGCTTTTGGCATGGCTGGGGGGCTGTCTTGTCTAATTATTATTATATTTTTTATTTTGAGTTTTTTTTGTCATATCGCTCTTGCTTCTGCGTGCTTCTCCTGAGTGTCTTTTGTCTTAGTGAGTGTGTTGTCGTTTAGTTTCATTGTCAAATAATGTGGGTATCTGGCCTTTCTCGTTGTCTTCCGTGTTAGCATGTTGGTGGACTGTTGATCGGAACGGTTGTGCACTGTTTTGTGTGTTGTGGGCTTTTCTGTTTTAGTTGTGATTAGTTGTGTCGGATGGAATTATAGTCGGTTTTCAAGAGGCTGGTTCTTGTCGTTTAGGTAACTTATTGCTTTCTTTATGCAGTATCTCCTTGTTGTTTGTAGTATGGCATTTCTGAATGCTATCTTATAGGGATGTGCAGTTTCTCTTCGTGTTTTTCTTGGTCTATCTGGGTTAAAGCTTTCGTGAACCTGTATCTGTATAATGTTTGTATTTGTCGTCTTCTTTTTTCGTGCAGAGTTACGCGTGGTCGTGAGGAATCTAGTGCCTTTGGTCTCTGTTCTCTAGGTATTAAGGCTCATAGTTTTCATGGGTGTCTGTATTGAGCTTTCTTCTTTACTAAAGCTACGTAATTACACACTGTCATTGGGATGTGTTGGCTATTTACCAGCCGTTCGGTCAATCAAGGTTAATTATTTTATATGATGTGCAAAGGTGTTGGGTGGGCGAGGCTGATGTCTTTCCTTTCCTTTTCTTATTTTTTCTGATCGGCACATAGTTTTTACTTTATTTTGCTCGCCGATCTCCGGTGTGGCAATTATCTAGGTCTGGTGCTGATAGCCTTCATCAATCTCTTCAAATTTCTTTTCCTCTCTCATTTATCCATTCAATTTTCTCTTCTTTAATCTTTTTCAATTTTATCTCCCTTTTCTTCCTTCGTTTCTATCTTCTTTTCACCTCTTCAAAATAATCATTCTTAGATATTTTCTTTAGATTCTCGATCTCCTCTTCCTTTCTTCCCTGTACGCCTTCTCCTCCCTCAGTCTAGTCCCTTCTATCCTTTTCGTTTTTAATCAATCTGTTCCTTTTTCATTCACCCCTCCTCATCCATATTTGTCTCTTACTTCTCTCGCCGTGTCAATTGTTTTTCTCTCTAATGGTCCATCCCAATTCCCTCGCACTCACTCTCACTCCTCCACTCCTTTTCACTCTTAGTCGCGGAAGGCTTGTCACACCTACGGTTCTTGTCGTTCGTCGTGCTCGTCTCCCTCTGTCCCATCCCCTAGATAAAAGTAAAGGAATTGGTTCCAACTGTGTCTGGAAGGGCATATCATCTGGAGTTCTGTCCTTGGCTGCCTCGGTCACATGGAGGCTTGGCACGCGCGTGATGTGGTGCTCCACATCATTCACTTCCTTGACAAGCTGGACTAGCCTTTCAGTCTCGCTCCCGTTCCCCTGTCTTCCCTAGTTAACGGCAGGTTTGATTTAGACCTATGGGTGTCGTAGAATAGCGGGGCAAATCGGTCACGACCTCGTGAGGTCAATTGAGTTTTCATGTCCTCAGAGACCACTGAATTGAACCTTCTCTGCATGTCCGGCCAGGGTTCCGTGCAGGCCGGCGAAGCATTGGCCAAGCTTTATGCCAACCAGGGTTGGTTCGTGTCGGTCAATGTCTATCCTGGAACACGCGCCCGCAGCGGCCCAGTGATCAACTATGTCAAGATTTCCGACTCGGAAGCCATGGCCAGTTGCGCCAACTATCACCCTTCCGAGGTTATAGTCTTTCAGGAAGAATTGCTGCTGACTGCCAAAAACAACACCCACGAGTTGATTGCCGACGCCATTGGCCGGATGAATCGGGGTACGCTCCTGGTAAATTCTCCTAAATCACCTCAGGAAATCGACCTGCCCTTCAATCTGGAGGGCGTGGTTGCCACAGTGGATGCCACCGGCATTGCCGGGCGATTGCTCCAGCGCAATCCGCCTCCCGTTGGCTTAACCCTATTGGGAGCCTATGCGCGCATTACCGAAGCAATTGACATGGATGAACTGCTTTCCATCATCAGGGAGACTTTCCCAGGTACTGTTGGCGAACGCAACGCAGAGGCCACCCTCGAAGCATACGAGACGGTTCAGGCCATCGGAGGCGTGAAGTTCCAGGTGGACCGGCGGCCCGCTCGATTGGAGCATACCCCGGTGGCGGACCTGCCCCAGTATTATCAGTTTGACCGTTACGACAAACTGCCGGGGTTCAGCAACGGAAGCCCCTTTGTATGGCGGGACAAAGTGCCCGTCTGCGAGGACAACAAATGCATCTGCCCGGGCGTTTGCATCAGCGAAGTAATGTGCCCCGACGGCACCGGTTTCATCATTCGCCGAGACTTGCCCCATCAGGGCTATCGCATCGACGTTGACTTCTGCCGTGGCTGTGGCATTTGCGCCGAGGTCTGCGTTGGTAGCGCCCTCACGATGGTGGACGAGGACCAGGTCAAGAAGGACAATCCGGAATATACTGACATCACGGCCGAGCCCCACCGGCCGGAGATCGCCACCCACCAGCGAATTCACTTGGACATCTAGCAACTGACAGGAATCAGGAGACCGTTAATGACATCTCCAGCCCAAGCAAAACGCGAGGCTCTGACCGGCAACAAGGCGGCAGCCCTTGCCTTGAAGCTGGCGCGCACGCAGGTGCTGTGCTACTTTCCCATCGGTCCATCCGACGAAGTGGGCGAAGAGCTGTCCCGCATGATACAGCGGGGAGAGCTGCCTGCGGAAGTAATTGAACTGGAGCACGAGCGAAGCGTCATGAACGCGCAGATCACCGCGACCCAGTCGGGCGCCCGTTGCTCTTTTGCCACCAATTCGGAAGGTCTGCTCATTGCTGCCCAGCAATTGATTTTTGCCTCCTACGCCCCCGCATTCCCATCGTGGTTGTGGTGGCGCACCGCGCCCTGGAGCCACCGGCTATCGTCCGGTCCGACGACCAGGATACAATCATGTACCGGGACATCCACTGGATGCACTACCATTGTGAAAACGCCCAGGACGTGATGGACACGGTTATTCAGGCTTACAAGGTCAGCGAGGACCCTGATGTGTTGCTGCCCGCGTTTGTCACCTACGACGGTTGGGAGGTGTCCCACAACAGTTATCCGGTATTGGCGCCCAGCCAGGAAGCCGTTGACAGTTTTGCCGCCCTACGAGTTGCCAACCGAGGTCGACTTCATCAAGAACCTGGACTTCGCCGCCTACTATGGCGGGAACCGGATGAGCGGCTATGGCTATATTGACGTGGAACGAGAATACATGGAGCGCCGGTTCCAGTTGGACGAGGCTCTCAACGTCACAGCCAAGACCAGGTTAAAGCAGGCACATAAGGATTATGTAAATTTGGCAGGAAGAGGCTATGGAGGCCTCATCGAGACCTACCAGATGGAAGACGCCGAAGTTGCAATCATCGCAATGGGATCACTGTCTTCCACGTCCAGGCTGGCCGTGCATCTGTTAAGAGAGCAAGGCAAGAAGGTAGGACTGATTAAGATTCGCACCTACCGCCCATTCCCCAGCGAAGACTTGGTAGATGCGTTGCAGAACGTAAAGGGTGTGGTAGTTCTGGATCGGAACACGGTCGCCGCTGTCTATAACGACCTGCGCAGTTCGCTGTTTGGGCAGCCCAACCCTCCTGCGGTCCTGGGCCGAATCATTGGATTGGGCGGACGGGACGTTACTCATTACAACGTGGTCTACGCCGCAGAGGAAGCTTTGGCAGCTTGCCGCGGCGAGAGAACTCCCAAAGCTCTCGACTGGCATTTTGAGGTTATCGAAGACGAAGAGATGTTGGGGCAGGTGTTGAACAGGTAACTGGCCTAGGTCCCTTCAGGAGTGGTCGACTTAGATGCAGTGGCAGGTATTATATTACTGGCCACAGAACAACGAAGGCGTCATCTCGGCAGATGACGGAAACCGTTACACGTTTTTTGGAACCGATTGGAAGGACACAATGGTCGCCCCTGCCGCAGGAATGAGTGTTGACTTTGAACTTCTGGGGGAGACCGCCAACAACATTTTCAGGATACAGGGTATTCAGCACACAGCGTCAGTAACGAGCACCAAGAGTCCAATCGCTGCCGGGTTACTGGCCATATTCCTTGGAGGTCTGGGCATTCACAAGTTTTACCTCGGCTATGTGGGGCCGGGCGTGGCGTTACTGGTTGCCTCCACAGTTTCTTTTTTGCTTTCTTTCGTGTTGATCGGGATTTTCTTCTTGTTTGTTATTGGAATCTTCGTGCTGATTGAAGGAATCATTTACATCACGAAATCAGAAGCAGAGTTTCAGAGAATCTATGTAGACCAAAAAAGGGCCTGGTTCTGATTGATGGCGATGTCCCATTGATTAAGGACCTACGGTATGGGGGAGTAAAGCAATGCCGATAAAGATGATACAGGACACTGCCGACCAGCGGGTCTACATGAACGTCACCGCAAACCAGTGCCCAGGCTGCCCGGAAAACCTGGCTACTCGGCTGGTTATGCATATTGTGTTCGACCACCTTAAGGACGAAGACCCGATTATATTCGGTCAGGGCTGCGGCATTGGGCGCGACTTCTTGCAGCGCAGTGGACTGGGAACCCATGACAGCGGCATTGTCGGAATGCTCACTGCCATGAAGGTCCGAAACATAGATCGGCCCATCGTGGTAATTGACGGGGACGGGCAGATTGACCTGGGCTTGGAAGACCTGGCTACCAGCTTCCAGCAGGGCTACAAATACCTCCACGTCGTGTGCGACAACCAGGCCCATGCCGCCAGCGGCAGCCACGCCACCGGCAGTACGCCACCCATGGCCCGCACCAGTGTCCGGCCGACAGGAAAGCTCCGGCACCCCAAGCACTTCGCCTTGATGCTTATGTTCAGTGGCGCGGAATACGTAGCCACTGCATCCACTTCCCATCCCCAGGACCTGGAACGCAAAATAAAGGCTGCCAGCACCAGGCTGCCAGCATTCATCCAGATATTGACACCTTGCAACCCCTCGTGGGGGTACGACGACAACAAGGGGATTGAGGTATCAAGGTTTGCGGTGGAAAGCGGTATTTGGCCCCTCTACGAGTGGAAAGACGGCGTATTCCAGCGCCAGAACATCATGCGCAAGTCCAGTGTTCGAGACTACGTGGGTTCCCAGCGCCGATTCGCTCACCTGGGCGACGAAGGCATCGCCCAAATGGAAGAATACGTCAACGATCTCAACCGTATGATGATCAAGTTGGAAACGGGATTCTCCGCTTAGGGCTGCCAGTCATGGTTACCGATCCGAAAACCTGGCTAAAATCCTATTCGCCCGGGATGCCGTCCACCTTGGACTACCCCCGGGCTCCTCTTTACCATTTCCTGCAGGAGTCTACCGCCCGTTATCCGGAGCGGGCAGCCATCATTTACCAGGACTCCTCTGAAGGTAATGAACCCGTAACCAAGACATATCTCTCCCTGGACGAAGATTCCAGTAGATTCGCGGCGGCCCTGGTCTCCCTGGGCGTCAGGAAGGGCGACCGAGTTGCCTACTACATTCAGAACTCCCCTGAGTTGATCACTGGCTTCTACGGCATCCTGAAAGCCGGCGCAGTGCCCGTACCCTGCAACGTAATGTATCGCGCCGAGGAACTGGCTTACCACCTCAACGATTCGGGGGCCAAAGTCCTGTTTTGTGAAGCTGAACTGTACCCCACAGCGCAACAAGTGCTTGCAGAAACTCCCGTATCAAACGTCATAGTTGCCGGCGGCAACGTGGACGGCCAGGCCATCTCTTGGGACAGCTTGCTAACCTCCGTGTCCCCCCTTACTGACTTGCCGGCCCTTGACGTAGACGAGGACCTGGCGTTGCTCCCCTACACGGGCGGAACTACCGGTATTCCCAAGGGAGCCATGCTTACTCACGCCAATATGGTTGCCAACGCGGTGCAGTTTCGTGACTGGTTTGGCTATGAACCAGGCGGCGAGGTATTCGTAGCTACACTCCCCCTCTTTCACATAGGAGGCATTGCCGGCGTCATGAGCGTTCCGCTGTCCGCCGGCGGGACCATTGTTTTGTTCCGTCGATTCAGCGCTGAAAGAGTTCTCAAGGCTATTCAGGACTACCGGGCCACCAGATTTCTTGGGGTTCCCACCATGTATATCGCCCTGCTGAACCACGAGAACGCCAGTAAATATGACCTGTCTTCTCTTCGCGCCAGCCGTACCAGTGCCGCCCCACTGCCCAAAGCTGTTAAAGAATCATTTGACTCGCTCGTAGGTCACGAGGTACTGGTCGAGGGTTACGGGCTTACCGAAACGTCGCCGTTGACCCACGCCAATCCCGTTAACGACGCCCGGGCAGGATCCATTGGCGTCCCTTTGCCAGACACGGACGCACTGGTGTTTGACGCAGACGATGGTGTTGACGAGATGCCCTTGGGAGAGGTCGGTGAATTGGCACTGCGGGGCCCTCAAGTAATGAAGGGCTATTGGAAACGCCCTCTGGAGACTTCTGAGGCAATTCGAAATGGCTGGTTCTATACGGGAGATCTGGCTTACATGGACGAGCGGGGCTATTTCTTCATTGTTGACCGCAAGAAGGACGTAATTAACGCTGCCGGATTCAAGGTGTGGCCCAGAGAAGTTGAAGAGGTGCTATACCAGCATCCATCGGTCCGCCTGGCCGCAGTTCTGGGTGTCCCCGATGACTACCGGGGCGAGACGGTGAAGGCCGTCATAGCCCTCAGGGAAGCTCATGAATTCAAGACCGAGGAGTCGGCCAGGAAGCATATCCTGGCACATTGTCAGCACCACCTGGCTAGTTACAAGATTCCCCGAATAGTGGAGTTCAGGGACGAACTGCCCCTCAGTGCTGCTGGCAAGGTATTGCGCCGGGTTATGCGAGAAGAAGCAATTGAGGCAGAATAGGGACGTCTCGGTCTTTCTTTTAGTGTCAGAGGGAAAGAAATCAGGGTTGGGATAGGGCAATTTGTTTCAACTCATTCTCTCGTCAAATAGCTAACCCAAGATTCGAGGTTCCTGCCTTCGCAGGAACGACGGTTAAACTTTTTGCTTATTGCTACCGAACTTGGCAAATGTATGCTCTATCTTAATGCAGGTAACACCTGGTTAGTGAAGCGATTTAACTGCTCCATCTGGTTGGGCGATGCGAACCGCACTATGAAATAGGTGACCCCTGCCTCCCTGTAGTCGGCAATGGCTTGGACGCACTTTTCCGGCGGACCAAAGACGCAAAGGAGTTGCTTGCTGACCGCCTCGTAAGGACGGCTGTAATAAGCCTGCATGAATTGGTCCCCTTCAGCCAGAGCCTCGTCTTCTTCATTTAGGTTCACCGAAATATACAAGGCCCTTGTCATTTCCTTGGCGTCCCTGCCTGCCTCTACTGCGTTTTCCTGAACCCGGTCCCAGCATCTATTAAACAGCTCGACACTGGGCACGTTGGTGATCCAGGCGTCGCCCATTTCCGCCACCCGCTTCAGGCCGCGCCTGACCCAGTTGCTGGAAATCCAGACAGGCAGTGGTTGCTGGAGGGACTGGGGTTCCAGGGTAACGTTCTCCAAGGGATAATAGTCGCCTTCATTGGTTACGTCTTCCTGCGTCCACAGGGCGCGCAGGAGGTTTATTCCTTCCTCCATCCGGTCAGCACGTTCACCGACGGGCACCCCCACAGCCGAGTGTTCGTCGATGTACATCTGGTTGTCGCCGCGACCGGCGCCGGCCCCCAGGATTACCCGCCCGTTGGAAATGTTATCGATGGTAGCAAGGGCGTGGGCTAAGTGGACCGGGTGGCGCAAGGCCGTCAGCATTACCGCCGTTCCAATCCTTACTCGTTGAGTCCGGGCCGCCAGCGCTGCCATGATGGTCAGCGGCTCAAGCCTAGGCTTGGAAGTGATGCTGTCACCGACCCAAACGGAGTCGTAGCCATGCCGTTCCACTGTCTCGGCCATCTGCCAGTTAAGTTCTACTCGTGGCCTTCCGCCATCTGCGTATACAAGAACGCCCCTGGTGGGCAGCAGAACGCCAAAATTCTCATGCAGTTCCATATTACCTCTCGCTTGTCGCGCGCCGAATGAAGTCCCAGGCCATCCTTATGTCAACCAATCCCCTGAAGTAGCTGGTTCGCTGGTGATCACACTACCGGCCAGCGGGACGGATAGGAAACACCGGTGCGGGCCAGCAGATTCTCGCCCAGTTCCTGTACCTTTTGTACCAACTCCCATTCGTCAACGAACAAGGGTTGGTAATTTTCGATCCTAACCTGCCCGTCAACTATTACCGTGTGAACGCTGCGTCCGTCAGCATTGTATACAAGGTTGTTGACCGGATTGAACAGCGTGCGCCACTCGGCACGGCGGGTATCAAAGAGGACCAGGTCTGCCTTCTTGCCCTCTTCAATGGAGCCAATATCGGCATCAAGACCCAGTGCCTTCGCCCCTCCTATTGTAGCCAGTTCCAGAGCTGTCTCAGCCGGTATCATACCTACATCCCGGCGGGCGTCCTTGTAGAGCACCGCAGCCAGGTACATGGAACGCATAGTTTCCAACAGGTTTGAATTGTTGCCAGCGTCGGTACCAAGGCCCACGATAGCTCCGGCATCCAGCAATTCCGGCAGCATTCCCTCGTGGGCGACGCCATTGCCACCCTTGATGGCCGCGGTGGGACACATTACTACCGATGCTCCACTCTTGGCGATGCACTCAACTTCTGATTGGTCCAAACCCAGTCCGTGAGCCAGGGTCATACGCGACCCAAGTATGCCCAGGGATTCCAAATACTGCGTGGGCCGGCATCCGTTCCGTTGCAGGCATCCCTGCACGTAGCTGGAGCTATTGTTGAAGTGTAGGGTCATACGAGTGTCGAATTCTTCAGCCAGAGAGGCAGCAGATCGGAGCAATTCCTCCGAGGAAAAACCTGGAGAAAAAGGCATGGCCCAGGCACGAATGCGGTCATCCAGCCTGTGGTCATAGTCCCGAATGACCTGCTCCATCACCCTTTGTTGCCTCGTTAGTTTCATAGACAGGCAGGTTAATGGGGTTGGGCTGGTCGGTAACCTGCCACCCAACGATGATGCGGCACCCGGATTCCTTATAGGCTTGCATGCAAGTGTCCAGGCCCTTGGTGCTTCCGGGGTCCATGAAGCAGGTGGTCCCGTACTTGAGAAGCTCGGTAATGGCGAGCAGGGATGTCAGATATTCCTCTTCGTCCGTCATCGCTCCCTGCAGCCTGAACACGTTTGACAGGTACGCGGGCCCCAGATCGTCGGGGAAAATGCCCCGAGTGGCGTGAGCGTAGCTGATATGCATGTGCCCGTTGACGAAGCCGGGAGTGACGACCATCTCGCTGGCATCGATGACCCGGTCTGCAGTCACCCCTTCCAGATCCGCAACTTTGCCTACCCTGGCGATACGCTGTCCCTCGATGAGGATCGACCCGTTCTGGATGATTCGTCGCTGGGGGTCAACGGTAACCAGGAATCGGGCGCCCTCAATCTTGATACTTTGGTCGGCCATAGGTTAATTCTCCTGTCGGACCCGGGCGGAAGGGGTTCGTGGGGCAGCCCTGAAGGCATATTAGTCAGGGCAAAGCCCGTTGGCAATGCTTTGGTGGGGCATTTCCTGTTGATATAATTCAATAAGAGGCTGGACTAAGGAGGGCTTACCTTATGCCCTACAGTGGATTGAGTCTGGAAGGAATGACTGCATTGGTAACAGGATCGGGACGAGGAATAGGGCGCTGCCTTGCCATCGGACTGGCTCAGGCCGGAGCAAATGTCGCAGTGTCCGACATGGCCGAACAAATGGATGGCGCCGAGGAGACTGCGGAACAGGTCAGGAGTGAAGGGGTTGAAAGCCGCTCTTACCTGCTTGACGTGCTGGATTTGGACAGCATCCCTCCGACCATTGGCCGAGTAGTAAAGGACTTTGGCCGGCTGGACATCCTGGTCAACAACGCGGGAATCAGACGCCGTCAGCCTGCCCTGGAAGTTACGGAAGAGAACTGGGACGCGGTAGTCGACACCAACCTGAAGGGGCCTTTCTTTTGCGCCCAGGCCGCTGCCCGGCCGATGATTGACCAGGGTTTCGGCCGGATTATCAGCATTTCTTCCCAGTTGGCGGTGGTGGCCGGTGAAAATCGGGCAGCTTACTGCGCCAGCAAGGCGGGTCTGGCCAACCTTACCCGAGTGCTGGCACTGGAGTGGCTCAAGTACGGCATCACGGTTAATGCCATAGGACCCGGCCCAACCGAGACCCCCGGCTTACTGATTGCGGACACTCGCACCGCCGATGAATTGCAATACGATCTCAGGGCACATATGCCTTTGGGCCGCCGTATGCAGGCGGAGGAACTGGTGGGGGCGGCAATTTACCTGGCCAGTCCGTCCGCTGGCGCCACCACCGGCCAGCTATTAATCGTGGATGGCGGCTGGACCATCATTTGAGCCTTGGGATCAGCATCCGAGGGGGAGCCTTGCCAACGGAAATCACCATCAGGCGCGCCACCAATTCTGACTTGGACACCTTGGTCAGATTCAACTCTGCAATGGCCCAGGAGACTGAAGACAAGGGATTGGAACTGGCTACCCTCAAGGCAGGCATTGAATCCCTCCTGGAGGACGATTCCCTTGGCTTCTACCTGATAGCGGAAATAGAAGGCCGGCAAGTGGGTCAGTTGATGATCACCAAGGAGTGGAGTGACTGGCGAAATGCTCATTTCTGGTGGTTGCAGAGCCTTTATGTTGAGCCGGAGTTCAGACGACAGGGAGTGTTTCGACGTCTCTATGACTATGTCTGGCAACAATCTCAGAGCGCAGGGAACGTCTGCGGACTGCGCCTTTACGTGGAACGCACCAACCATCGGGCGCAGCAAGTTTATGTCAATCTAGGGATGGAGCTTTCTCATTACGATATGTATGAGGTGGAGTTCTAAATAACTCCAACCCAGCTTTCACTTCCACAATTGACTGCCCGCAGCTCAGGTCTTATCTTTAGTGAGCTACCAATAAGGTCAGATTTGGGGCCCATTGAACTATGGCACAAGCACCTTCCGAGTATGACTATTTAATCCGTGGGCAGTTCTATCTGCAGCAGGGCAATTTCCAAGACGCTATTACCGATTTCGACCAGGCATTGGCAATTAACCCTGACTTTGCGGCCGCCTACTATTATCGCGGAATAGCTCAGCGCAATTCGGGAAATTACGCCGGGGCCATCACCGAGTATACCAAGGCTGTTGCGGTTGAACCGGACTATCCCGTGGCATTCTACGCCCGCGGCGTTGTCTATAGACATTTGGAAGACTACGAAGCGGCGATTCGGGATTACAATCTCGCTATTGAGCTGGAACCGGAAGACGCAGACTTCTATTACGCTCGGGGCGTTGCTTTCGCTTCCCTGAAGAACTACGACGACGCCATTACGGATTTTCGTCAGGCCTTAGACCTCAATCCCGAAATGCCTAACGCCTGGTACAACCTGGGAATTGCCCATCGCGACTTGGGCAGGCTGGAAGAGGCCCTGGAGTTCTACTCGACAGCGTTAATGATACGGCCACAGGAGCCGGATTTTCGCTACGCCCGGGGCAACCTCTACAGCGACCTTCATCGGTATGAACAGGCCGTCGTAGACTATGACCAGGCCATAGCCAACGTTCCCACCTTCGCCAACGCCTTCTATAACCGGGGGATTGCCCTGCGCAACCTTGGCAAGCCTGCCGATGCCATCGCCAGTTTCAACGAGGCGCACCGCTTCGGACCTGACTTTCCCAACCTCTACATGAACCGGGGAATAGCCCACTCCGACTGTGGAGACTATCAAGCTGCCCTGGCAGACCTGGACCACGCCCTCAAAATAGAACCAAAATTGGCGGCCGCCTATCGAGCAAGAGCCGGGGTGAATCGAGAACTCGGAAATTCAGAGGCCGCCGAGTCCGACTGGGAACAATACCTGAGGCTGTGCGGCGAATGACCGGCCAGATCAGCAACTCCAGAGGGATACCCATAGGGCTACAACTGGGCAATCTGGAGTATCTGGTGACTCCGGAATCTCTGGGGTTATACCGTGATGCCGTCGGTTACCCTGTAGGTGAATTCCCTAATTTAGCCGCCCGAGAATGTCTGGAAGTCCTTGCGCAAAAAATATTTGTGGGCCAGGCCGACAGTGTTACCCATAGCGATCAATACTACCGCGCGCCGGTCGCCGGCAGACGGGTTCAGGTGACCGGTTGGGTAAGAGATCACTACTTACAGAGAGGCGCCGAACGGCTGGTAGTAGAGACTTTTGCCGTTGACGACATCGGGACCGAGATCCTGCGAAGCCAACACACTTTCCAGTTCGGCACCGCCAGGGCGGCCGGAAGGCTTGGTCGCCGACCTTCGCGTAAGCGGGGAGCGATCGATGTAGAGACGATTCCTGACGTGGAGAAACGAGTTACGGACGAAGTGATCGAGAAGTTCGAAACTGCGAACCGGACTCTGCTTGGCCGCACGGCGGGTGAGTCAGGCACACAGTCAGCAAACCTCCAGGCCAACGCAGGCCTGGCCAGTGGTATGGGCCTTGCCGCCGCGGTGGCCCCGGAAGAGTTAGGGACAGCCTATTTGCACGAACTGCTGGATCGTCGGTTTGGCATTGATTTCCGGCAAGGAGGGAGCCTCAGCGTCAATTTCCGCCGGCCCATTTACGCCGGAGACAACCTGGTAGCCCAAGGGCTGGCAACCATGAAGGAGTTACAAGGCAACCGGGCTGCCTGGCAGGCACAAATATGGCTTGAGAACGGCCGTGGGGAGCAAGTTATAACCGGCGAAGCCCAGGTGACCGTACCGAGCCCTCTAACGTGAGGCGGCCAAATGCCTGGAACAGGGTGCCGTAAGAGTCACCAAGCTGCCGTGATACGAAGAACGGCCTCCATGCGTATATTTGAAGGAAAGGGGATGAAGGCATGTCATCTTTCAGTGAGCGTCTAAAGCGGGAAGCTGCACCGATATGGGAGGCCATATTCGATCATCCGTTCCTGAGAGAAATTAAGGATGGTACCTTGCCGGTAGAGAAATTCCGGTATTACCTGACCCAGGATTATCAGTACCTGGAGGGATTTGGCAGGACTGTAGTAATGGCAATGGCCAAAGCCCCTAATTCCCAGACCCTCGAAGAGTTATCCCACCGCGTGATGACGCCTATCGAACGGCCACTGCACCATCAATTGTTACAAGCCGCTGATGTCTCAATGGACTATATCAATGAGGTGGGCCGATCGCCCACGAACACCGCTTATGTCAACCACATGCTGACCACGTCATCTCTTTATGGCCTCGGTCCCACAGCCGCTGCCTTGCTTCCCTGTCCGTGGACTTACCACGAACTCAAGGACGAAGTGGGGGCGTCGGAGCACCCCCTGTATAGCCAGTGGACGAGTTTTTACGTAGCGGGCTTCCTGGAGAACAGCGTCAATGCCTGGCGAGGCTTCGTCGACGCAGCAGCAGAACAGGCTGGGCAGGAAGAACTTGAGGCCATGCGACAGGCATTCCTGATTAGCAGCCGCTATGAGTACATGTTTTGGGACATGGCTTACCGTATGGAGGGGTGGCCGGTATAACTTCGCCTCGTTGCTCAGTCCCCGAATACCCGTTTAGGCACAATAAAGGAAGGGGCAGGTTTCGAACCTGCCCCTTCTTGGTTTCGCCATTCTCACGGAAGTCAGGGCGCCATTCGCGCCGGCCCCCAATTGTGGGGAATGTTAATAAGATTGGATTCCAGATTCTGAGCGGAGGTTTGACCGCAGACTGCCATCGCTCGGTCAAACTCGGAACGCAGAATTTCCAGGACGCCGTGAACACCCTCGGCGCCGTCTTCGGAGAGGCCCCAATACAGCGGTCGGCCTACACCCACTGCCTTGGCCCCCAGAGCCAGGGCCTTCAATACGTCGCTGCCACGGCGAACACCCGAGTCGAGATAGACCTCACAGTTGTCGTTTACAGCTTCAACGATCTCCGGCAGCATCTCCACCGAACTCAACGTGGAGTCAATTTGCCGGCCGCCGTGAGTGGATACCAGGATGCCGTTTACGCCGCTCTCAGCGGCAATATGAGCGTCCTCTGCAGTCCTGACCCCCTTGAGCACTAGTGGGAGGCCAGTTAGACCCCGCAGCCAGTCCAGCTGTTCCCAGCTCAGGGGTGGAACCTGCGAGGGCTGCCAGTTGGGAGCCTCGTCGGTGCCACTGACTTCAGCCAAACGATCCGGGGTCGCGCGGAAGTTCGCCAGTTCGGCGGGATTGACGTACTGGTTTCGCACGTCCCGCTCCTTGGAGGAAGGCACCGGCGTATCGACGGTGAGCACGATGGCCTTGTAGCCTGCCTCCTCCGCTCTGTGTACCAGCATTTCCGTCAGGTCGAGGCCCCGGTGATAAAGCTGGAACCATAGTGGGCCAGAGGCAACTCCGGAAACTTCCTCCATACTGTAGTGGGAAGAGGTGCTGAGCATCATCAGGGTATTCGACATCCCGGCGCCCCGGGCTGTAGCCAGCTCTCCATCTGGATGAGCCAGCTTGTGGCCGCCGGCGGGACAAACGAAAACGGGCATGCTGACTTCCGTTCCCAACATGGTAGTGGACAGGTCCCGATTGTCGATGTTGCGAAGGAAACGGGGTCGAATGGTCAAGTCTTCAAAGGCAGACCGATTGCGGGCCGTAGTAAATTCGTCCATGGCCCCGGCTTCGATAAATTCCCAGTTGTTGTGAGGAAGCCTAACTTTGGCCCGTGCTTCATAGTCGTAAAGATTAATCGGATCCATCGATGGTACGCTCCTTTTTCTGGACTGTTAGGGTAAGTTTCCCTACTTTAAGCCTTGAAGAATGTTTAGGCAAGTTGAGGTAGAAGCGAGGAAAACCCGTTCGTAACTTGCTCACTTCTTTCATGTGAGTAACAGACTTTATGATCTGTCTACCAAATTTCTCCTAAATAAGTAAAGAGCGCCGCACTTGTCGGCGCCCTTTGTATTACCTAAGTCTTTCCGTTTCAGCCTTACTCTTCGGGGGGGCTGAAGGGTACGATGCCAGGAATCCACCACTTTTCCCAGCTATCGTCAACGCGGGACTGGAAGAAGTCGAGGTCCTCTTCGATCAGGTGAGCGAAGCGACCCTGGCGCTGCAGGTAGTCCTTGACAGGCTTGCGCTGGCGAACGCCATTGCTGATGGCCCGTGAGGGGCCGCTAAGAATCAGTTCGCCGTCGGCAATCTCGTACTGAACCCACAAACCCGTCTCCACGGCCAGCATACCCAACTCGTGGGAATACTTGGGGTCATAGTCCCAGCCCTTGGGGCAGGGGTCGATGACGTGAATGAAAGTGGGTCCACCAATGGTCAGGGCCCGGCGAATCTTGTTGGTGAAGTCCAGCCCGTAGGAAGCACAGGCAGTAGCCACATACCGGCAACTGGGGTGGCCGGCGGCCA